AAGATTTTCAAAGATTTTTCCTATATATTTCTATGTAAAACTTTGATTCCCCATTGTGGCCTCGCCCTTCCCCCGGGGGTCATGATGTGAACAATTTAGAATCTACACTACCCCAGGATGCTTCCACATAAGTTTCAGCTTTACTGGCCCAGTGGTTCTTGAGAAGAAGATTTTTTAATGACCCAACCCTATTTTTGCCTTTTCTTGATTATCTCCCCTTGCGAGGGGATATGTCCCTTCATTTTAACAATTTAAATTCCCCTTCACCCAAGGATGCTTTGTACCAAGTTTGGTCAAAATTGGCCCAGTGGTTCTTGAGAAAAAGTCGAAAATGTGAAAAGTTTACAGACGGACAGACAGACGGACGGACGACGGACAAAATGTGATCAGAAAAGCTCACTTGAGCCTTCGGCTCAGGTGAGCTAATAAATATTAATTAAATTCAAAAATAATGCATAGGAAAATAAATCTGGTTGCTACATGATAAAACCTACTGATATGCCAATAGCCAAATAGTGGTTCTATTTAAAAACAAGAGGCCCATGGGCCACATCGCTCACCTGAGAAACTTTGACCATTTTGTTCTTTACCAGATTTCCCCCTTGTAATACATATTGTGACCCCACTGATCGTAATTTAGACATTTTGAAATCTACACTACCCCAGAATGCTTCCATGTGCACATAAGTTTCAGCTTTTCTGGCCAAGTGGTTCTTGAGAAGATTTTTAAAGATTTTTCCTATATATTTCTATGTAAAACTTGGATTCGCCATTGTGGCCCCACCCTACCCCCGGGGGTCATGATTTGAACAATTTAGAATCTACACAACCCCAGGATGCTTCCATATAAGTTTCAACTTTTCTGGCCCAGTGGTTCTTGAGAAGAAGATTTTAAAAATTTTTTCCTATATATTTCTATGTAAAACTTGGATTCCCCATTGTGGCCCCGCCCTACCCCCGGGGGTAATGATTTGAACAATTTAGAATCTACACTTCCACATAAGTTTCAGCTTTTCTGGACCAGTGGTTCTTAAGAAGGTATTCAAAGATTTTTCCTATATATTTCTATGTAAAAATTGGATTCCCTATTGTGGCCCCGCCCTACCCCCGGGGGTCATGATTTGAACAATTTAGAATCTACACTACCCCAGGATGCTTCCACATAAGTTTCAGCTTTTATGGCCCAGTGGTTCTTGAGAAGAAGATTTTTTAATGACCCCACCCTATTTTTTACTTTTCTGGATTATCTCCCCTTGTGAGGGGACTTGGCCCTTCATTATAACAATTCAAATTTCCCTTCACCCAAGGATGCTTTGTGCCAAGTTTGGTCAAAATTGGCCCATTGGTTCTTGAGAAGAAGTTGAAAATGTGAAAAGTTTACAGACGGACAGACAGACAGACGGACGGACGGACGACGGACAAAATGTGATCAGAAAAGCTCACTTGAGCCTTCGGCTCAGGTGAGCTAAAAAACAACTTACAATACAAATTGAGAATTAAGTTGGCAAATGGATGGAAAGGCAGATGTACACCAGAAATCAATTCTTTAGCTTATAGCTCAGGTGAGCTAAAATTAATCTTTACTGTTATTCATGGAACCCAGCTCTACCCTACAAATAACGGCACTTGATGTGATTTGATACAATCAAAGGAAAAAAACCAGACCTGGTATTACATGTATTTAGCAGTTAAAAGCATCATTTTTACAATTCCTGGGGCCCATTTTACAAAAGAACTTACGACTTATAAGACCAAAAACTTCAGTTTATTGTAAAATTTTGCAATATTAATCATTCAGTTTAAAAATTGCTAATGTAAAAATATCTTACTACATTCCATATAAAAAGATCAAATAATTCTCAATATAAGTCAATTAAAAGTTATATAAAGACTTAAATTTTGGTCTTAAGTCATAAGTTCTTTTGTAAAATGGGCCCCTGGTCTTGAATATTGATGCACATTAAAATACTAGTATGGCACAGACATGAAAATATTTCCATTGAGAGACCAGACTAATCATAAGAAATCATTGTGCTAAGTTTGAACTTTCACAGTTCATAAATGATCAAGTTTTGACTATTTGCAGAACTGTATTTCGCTAGGGAAAAAAATATTGAAAGATTGGAGAGCTAAGTGTTACCTGCAGAAAAAAATGTAGTGAGCACAAATAGTTATACTCGACTCTGAATCTATGGTTTTTTTTTCAGATTTCATACATCAACTGCACAAGCTATAATAGCTTTAAATATTTCCTTTCTCAAATATTCTCCTAGTTAACATCTACATGAAGATTATTTTGCTATCCAGAATAGCAGTATAAATGGGTGAAATTTTATATGATGTAATTTTAGTATTTATTTTATCTTGAAACTGTTTAATAATGTGAGTATTTTTTAACAAAAAAAGCACATTTACTGACTGGGAAAGGGATGGTGGTTTATTCATGATACAATGCTTTAATATTGCAATAAATATTAAAGTTATTTATAACAAATAGTCCAACAATCAGGAATAACAGCATCAAGGGTCATTTAACTGTCCTCATGTTCCAAAGTCCATCATTTAGGTAATGAATGTTCTCTAATCCAATACCCTTGTTTTTAGAAATGCTGAAAATAAAATGTAAACAGTCTTCACATTATGCTTAAAAATATAAACTGTTAATACTATTTTGTATATAAATCTATGAACCTAATACATGCATGCATCTCAGTTGAAATTTTTGAGAAGAAATACAAACAAAATTCAAAGCTTAAATACACATACATTTCGTCTGTGGACATTTTTGTCATTCCTATGGCCACTGCATGCTCCTTTCCCTCTGCCATCACAGCCACAACCTTCTCAGCATCTAATTTTGTCATCTTGGCACCAGGAGATGTCAGCCCTGGACACATGATGTTGGCCCCACTCAAGACAAATCTTATAGCACCTTTATCTACCTGCATTCGTGGCAACATGAAAGGGTCTGTTGAAAAGAAGAGTACTGTTTATGTTAATTTTTCCAATTATTTTTAGTCCTTTCCAAGAGCACTAACAATTAAGGGGGCTGACTGGGTTTTTTTTGTGTGAAAACTACAATAGAGAAACTCTCAAAATACAGGTACATTTACTATAGGATTAAATGGGAAAGTGCCAATTTTTCGCACTTTAAACTAAATTATAAAACAAGAGGCCCATGGGCCACATCGCTCACCTGAAAAACTTTGGCCATGCTGTTCTTTAACAGATTTCCCCTCTTTGTAATACCAATTGTGATCACGCCCTACCGCTGGGGTTCATGACTTGAACAATTTAGAATCTACACTACCCCAGGATGCTTCATGCTTCTACATAAGTTTCAGATTTTCTAGCCCAGTGGTTCTTGAGAAGAAGATTTTAAAAGTTTTTTCCTACATATTTCAATGTAAAACTTGGATTTCCTATTGTGGCCCCGCCCTACCCCCGGGGGTCATGATTTGAACATTTTAGAATCTACACTACCCCAGGATGCTTCCACATAAGTTTCAGATTTTCAGGCCAAGTGGTTCTTGAGAAAAAGATTTTAAAAGTTTTTTCCTACATATTTCAATGTAAAACTTGGATTCCGTATTGTGGCCCCGCCCTACCCCCGGAGGTCATGATTTAAACAATTTAGAATCTACATTACCTCAGGATGCTTCCATATAACTTTCAGATTTTCAGGCCCAGTGGTTCTTGAGAAGAAGATTTTAAAATTTTTTTCCTATGTATTTCAATGTAAAACTTGAATTCCCTATTGTAGCCCCGTTCTACCCCCGGGGGTCATGATTTGAACAATTTAGAATCTACACTACCCCAGAATGCTACCACATAAGTTTCAGCTTTTCTGGCCCAGTGGTTCTTGAGAAGAAGATTTTTAAAAGTTTTTTCCTACATATTTGTATATAAAACTAGAGGTACTGTGAGCGATGAGCTCACTAAATATATCCCATATGGTTTTAACTGGTGAAAAAGTCCATGTTTTCCTGTGGCCGGGAAACCCAAAATATGTGTCGGATCAAAAAGTTAAATAGGAGGTGCGCAATGGCAATTTGTAATAAAGATTCTGTGAAAGTTTCATCAAATTTCATTCAGTGGTATGAGAGGAGTTGCGGATAAGAGATGGGTATCCCAAAGCGTAACAGACGGACGAACGGACGTGCAGACGGACGGACGGAAATACCGATTACTATATACCCTCCCGCTTTTCAAGCGGGGGGTATAATTAAATTTACCTATTGTGGCCCCGCCCTACCCCCGGGGGTCATGATTTAAACAATTTAGAATCTACACTACCCCAGGATGCTTCATGCTTCTACATAAGTTTCAGATTTTCTAGCCCAGTGGTTCTTGAGAAGAAGATTTTAAAAGTTTTTTCCTACATATTTCAATGTAAAACTTGAATTCCCTATTGTAGCCCCGTTCTACCCCCGGGGGTCATGATTTGAACAATTTAGAATCTACACTACCCCAGAATGCTACCACATAAGTTTCAGCTTTTCTGGCCCAGTGGTTCTTGAGAAGAAGATTTTTAAAAGTTTTTTCCTACATATTTGTATATAAAACTAGAGGTACTGTGAGCGATGAGCTCACTAAATGATACCCCCCGCCTCCCATATGGTTTTAACTGGTGAAAAAGTCCATGTTTTCCTGTGGCCGGGAAACCCAAAATATGTGTCGGATCAAAAAGTTAAATAGGAGGTGCGCAATGGCAATTTGTAATAAAGATTCTGTGAAAGTTTCATCAAATTTCATTCAGTGGTATGAGAGGAGTTGCGGATAAGAGATGGGTATCCCAAAGCGTAACAGACGGACGAACGGACGTGCAGACGGACGGACGGAAATACCGATTACTATATACCCTCCCGCTTTTCAAGCGGGGGGTATAATTAAATTTACCTATTGTGGCCCCGCCCTACCCCCGGGGGTCATGATTTAAACAATTTAGAATCTACACTACCCCAGGATGCTTCATGCTTCTACATAAGTTTCAGATTTTCTAGCCCAGTGGTTCTTGAGAAGAAGATTTTAAAAGTTTTTTCCTACATATTTCAATGTAAAACTTGGATTTCCTATTGTGGCCCCGCCCTACCCCCGGGGGTCATTATTTGAACAATTTAGAATCTACACTACCCCAGGCTGCTTCCACATAAGTTTCAGATTTTCAGGCCAAGTGGTTCTTGAGAAAAAGATTTTTAAAGCTTTTTCCTACATATTTCAATGTAAAACTTGGATTCCCTATTGTGGCCCTGCCCTACCCCCAGGGGTCATGATTTGAAGAATTTAGAATCTACACTACCCCAGGATGCTACCATATAAGTTTCAGCTTTTCTGGCCCAGTGGTTCTTGAGAAGAAGATTTTTTAATGACCCCACCCTATTTTTGTATTTTCTTGATTTTCTCCCCTTGGAAGGGGACTTGGCCCTTGATTTTTAACACTTAAAATTCCACTTCACATAAGGATGCTTTGTACCAAGTTTGGTTAAAATTGGTCCAGTGGTTCCTGAGAAGAAGTTGAAAATGTGAAAAGTTTACAGACGGACGGACGGACAGCTAGACAGACAGACGGACGGACGGATGGACGACGGACAATGGGTGATCAGAAAAGCTCACTTGAGCTTTAAGCTCAGGTGAGCTAAAAATACTACAATAGACTTTTTACTCAAACTATAATATATGATGAGTAATTCTACATTGTACAATATTTACATTCAGTGTAATTTTCTTTATGAAATCCATTAGAAATCCACGACGTTCAAATCTCTATAACACGCACGAAACCTTGTCACCGCGCGTTCGAATACAGAGTAGGAACTATATGCATTTTTAATACACCAAAATGTACATTGTTTTAACACAATTTCATGATAAACATAAGCCCTGTTAAATTAACGTAAAAATATAACAAGTGTGCATTTAAAATTAATTTGTTACTTTTTTCCTCGCAATGATCGTTAGCGTTATTTAATTTTGCGACGTCACAAACGGCTCTTATGTCTATAAAGCACACCAGTTATGAAGGGCGCTAAATTCACATTAAGGATTACCAAAATAAACAATAATGAAGAGGAAAAATTAGAGTATGTAAATATAAGTATTGAATTCATATTTTGGGATGTCTTTGGTCCTAACGCGCGGTATTCAATTTGTCGGCACGGCCAGGTGTGTAATAGGACCAAAGACATCCCAAAATATGAATTCAATACTTAATTATATGTAAGAACCACAAAATTCAACCCTCTTGTTTCCAGAGGGGGCATCTCAAAGTGCCGAAAAATAACGAATTTCCTTGTTTTTATAGAGTACTTCAAAATATGTACAAAGGATTTGTACCAAAAAAATGATAAAGATGATGGAGAGATTATCTTATTTCTATATTTCAAGAGCATAAATTAATTTCTTTTTTTATAACATTTTTTGTTACCCCTTCTTAAAGACCGTCTAATAGCAAAAACACGTTACGACATCAATCTACCTATCAGTTAAAAAATCGTTTTAAAAATCAGTTAGTTTAAATTGTAATAAAATTTTTCAACCCTTAATTTCTTAATTTTGTTTGGTTTTATTGATTAAGTGAAAAAAGTTGCTTTAAAACAGTGAATACGCTTCATTTTACTATGATGCATGAAATATTGAGCAATGGAAACCACAGTCGGCCCCTTAATTTGAATAAAATTCAACAATCTGTCAACAGCAGACTTACTATGGACCAGATTTTTTGAAAATATTAATACTGGTAATACTTTAAAAATTGTTTAGTGTGAAAAGGGCTAGCAACAGAACAAATTTGTGTAGATTTCCCTGTACAGGTACTGAGAAAAGTATTGAAAGCACTAAAATGGAAATGGTTGACATGTCTAATAATGTAAATGAACATTCACCAAACTTCTGTGCCAACATTAATTTGGTCTAGCAATATTCCAGCAAGCTAGATGTTCATGACGAGATACTTTTGACTTGGGGGCATGTATATAAAGAGCATAGGGAAGTTAACCGAGGCTCTTATTTCTAGGAGTAAATCCAGCAGGTGCTCTTGCTACATATATATATTAATAGAAAATGTTACTCACACTTGTGTAAAAGCTTCAGTGTCGGCATGTAGGGCCCATCTCTGTGTCGAAACATCAATGGTTCCCCTGCAGCATTTGCAAGAATTTCTATGTGTTCATGGCTAAAAAAAGAGAGTATTTTGAGATACCTGAAGTTATCTGTAACATATTTCATTCACAAGTTCTCCTGAAGGCATTGCTATAAAGAGTTAAAAATTACCTATAACCTGCAAAATTTTTTAAATGTTGGCATGTTCAACAATTTTTATTAAAAATGTATGCAATATATTTGATCAGTACAAGTATAATATATAATTTAGAACCTACCATTTGACAACTTTAAGATCACCTTTCTTTGGAATAATCTGATCAAGGTATGGCTCTATAAAGGGATAATTATCTAATACAGAATTTCTAATGGCTTTTTGGACTGAAGATTTTGCATTATTCACACCAGATACCATTTCTTTGTCATCAAATCTGAAATAATAGTGAAAAACATTGCAATAAGTAAGTAAAACTTTAATCATAATACATTAGGAATTAAAATTTTCTTTAAAAATCAAAACTCCTTAGCCTGGCAATTAAGCTGATTAGAAACTCAGACTAGATCTGAAAAACTGAATTTAAACCCAATAAATTAACAGTTCATAATTAAATTAAAGCTATATTAATGGCATGTCTGAGCTAAAACAATAAAAATATGAGATTAAGTGTAGATTTACATGATATTTATTATTTACGTTCAAATTCAAATTGTCACCCATTTTAAACTTAAATATCCCAACATTTCTATAGTTCAATTGGCTTTAAACTGTGTTCGATATTTAATTCTGAGTTGGTAAATAAATCAGTTATTGTTTTCAATCTGTGATATTTAAAAAAATTGATCGATTTTAAATTGTGTTATTTCAGGGAAGTCGTATCTTTTATATATAAAGTAACAAACCAAATAGAAAGATCTTTTTAATTTTAGTTAGTCTGAACTTGTCAAAACTATGCCATATAACTTTAAGACACCAAGATGAGGTAAACTGCTATTTACACATCACCATTTCCATTAGTTTACCTGTATAATTATGCAATTGAATTTGTTTTTTTACCCTTATAGGACACATCATTTTCAGATTTTGGTAACTACATGTACTTTGCTCACTTGAAATTATTTTATCTTCTGACCTTTTTATAATTTATTTTTTGTATGTGAAAAAGAAATTGTATGGTTGCTTTAACGTCAACAAAACAACATAGAGAGAAATCCCTTATAAAATTATTTAAAACAGGGACCTATATACTAACAGGATAGGCAACTCCTTCATCGCCATGTTTATCTACCCAAAACATCACGCACAACACTACAAGTTTTTCAACTTACGTTTATTCCCAGTAAACAGGATGTTTTCTGATTATTATCATTTATTTCTTTTATGTATTGGAATTAGTTTATTGATAAATTTAAAAGCATAATAAAACTATAATCTAAATATAAAGAAAACAAACACCGATTCGGCGATTTCTCGGAATATGGCCGATCACATGTGCTGATTTTGCATAAAACAAAATTACTATTAAGCTAAGGAGTATGATATGTGCTAAAAACAAATCTTGAATGATTTTTTGACAGATATTTAAAGGATTTGATCACAAATGTGTGATAACTTTAGAGATATAATTAATTAAAGTTGACTTACGAAATCCCGCCACATACGAGATATCGCAAGACTTGCGGTAGTTGCCTATCCCATTAGAATATAGGTCCCTGTTTAAAACTTTTAAGTTGGGATATAGTGACCATAGATTATTGTATCTTATAGCTCAATATAGAGCACCTGACTAGTACTGCAAGAGTCATGAGTTAATGCTTGGACTAGACATATTTATGATAAATTTCATTGTATTTTTTTTTTTCATTTCTCTTAACCATTCCCCTGTTTAGGTTCCTTGTTTCATTATTATTTCAATAATGGGAAATACTAAAACATCACAAGCGAGGACCTCTTCCTCACTTCAACCTCTGTTTTTGTTAGATTTTTTTCATATTTTAGATTCATCAGTTAATACTATAATATTTAGTACCTATCAGTTACTATAATTTTTAGAATTCGACAAAGTCCTGGGACTTGGCTATGTTTCTTGTTTATCTTTTTTTTATAAGTTAAAAAAATGATCGTAAAGCTAAAAATAAAGCAAATTCTCAAATGTATGAAGTAAAAATGTGGGTTTGTGGGCGTTAAAATACCCATAAAACATTACGAATGTTTCGAAAATACAATCCGTCTTTTTATTTTCCGTTGCGGTTAGACTCTTGCTTTTACGCAATTCCTCATGTTTCCTCCTATATGACAAACGGCAATGAGTTTGTTAAATTTCGGTTTTAGCTGTGACTTGCAGCACATTCTAATTTCTATTTATTGTAACAGATGGTTTATTCAGTAGTGAGTATTTGTAAAAGTTATTGTAATGTACAAGTAATCTATCAGTCTGGTATTGTGTTGAAATACTCATGTATGACTATATGACAGTTTATGGAGGAAAAATAAAACATATATTAATACATATAGTCTTTATTCATTCAATGCAACAAATGAAAATAAATTATAAGTTACATAAATTTAATGATGTATAGGTAGATATGGACTCTGAAATTTCTTCCTCGGACTTCCCTAAAATTTACTCCTCAAGTCCTGGACTTGACCATGACAAAAAAAATTTTGAACCCCTGCGCATATGATTTTTTAATAAATAATACTGAGCAGGCCCCTGTAGTCCGTCATCCAAGAAACTCTTGATTTATTCATTATACTTGTGTCATTTATGCACAGATGTAGTAGGACGTTACTTCTCTGAAAAAAAGTAATCATGAAAAGTATAAATTAAAAAGAAATCCTTACTTTTTAAACATTTTTGTAACAGGTTAGTTGCTCACAATTTCTTGTCGGAAACTATATTAGTGTCATAGTAGAAAAAAGTGGACTAAAAGAAATTGAAAATTCCGGAAAGATAAGGCGTACGTTGATTCAATCATTAGCAGTGGCGGATCCAGAAGTTCATGTGGGGGGGGGGGGTTGAGGCCCAAAGGGGGATGGCATGGGAGGGGGTGTCCCCCTCCCATAGGTGGGGGTTCGGGGGGCCTCCCCCGAGAAAATTTTGTTTCAAATGGTTCTAAATGGTGCATTTTCCAGCATTTTGGGGGTACTTTTTGTAGCTTTTTAAAAGACCGATCATCACAATTTTTTAATAAAATGTTTTCAATTTAATTAAACTTTAACACAAGACTTTAGACTTTGCTTTAAAAAATTGTTAAATCTGACAATTTTAGGAATGCAAGCAGTTGACTTCAAGTTGTCTTTACTTTAAATGCACCTACAATTAATTTAGTCCTATATGTCAAGCTGACTTCCAAGATACAACTAATGTGCAAAATTTTTAAACACTAAAAAAATTAAAAATTATAGAATTATTTTCAGAATCCCTGACAAGTGCTTTTCAATTTACTCGAGTATATACTGTCAATTATATGATTTGGAATATAAAAACATGTGTACAATTAATGAAATTTCAAACTGAAGAAAAAATTAAATAAACTGGAGAATCTGTCAAAACTAGAGGGGTTTGCTAAGCCAACCTGGTTTTGTTAAAAAATTATTTTATTTAATTTTTAATACGGTAAAAAAAAAACCTGAATAATAGTTTATTCATAGTACATGTAGTAACTGTAGTAAAAAACATGCATTTTATCAGCAAAAGAATATTACTGAGCAGCACCGTAACTATGCAGTTTTCTGTTGTTGGTACCTGACTACATTGTACTGTGATCTTGTGACTTCACTAGATGCACGGACTACCCGATCTCTGAGGCACTCTCTCTGTTGATTACCTGTGTATTGTGTGCGTTCAAGCGGAAAGTGATTTCCTGTTACGTAGTTGTATATTTCACATTTGTACAAACAAAGGGTTCATGTTTATTAGAGTCTTATCAATGCAACAAAATGATAAAATGACAATTGTAAAAAGAAAAATTCAATGAGCGGGGGGGGGGTTCCCGAACCCTCCAAACCCCCCTGAATCCGCCATTGATTAGCATGATTAGTGGTAAGTTTTATGTTTTTCTGAAGCAAAAACAAAAATAAGAGTTACTCCCCTTAAAATCCTTACAGTATTTTTAACGGAAAAAAGGTTCATTCACTTTTACATTATTTTAGTAAATATTGCTAAGAAAATAAAAAACTCAAAAACATAGTAAAATGACTACTAAAAAATTATAATAATTACAAAAAACGAATCCCTTTTTCGCAATGTTTTGAAAATTCAAACTCAAATTAAACAATGGCAAGTTCAACACTAAGACTCTGTGTGTTTGCATGAGAATGAACATTTATTGTGTTGCAGTGAAGGCGAAGAGCTGAGTGGTTCCGGGATGGGACTTGATCACCCCAGACGGCGTACCTCTGGAGGTTGTGGTGGACAACGCTGAAAGGATCCAACTGAGGACGGGAATAACGTAACGCATTAAATATCAGGTGTATACAAGTATTTCCATTCTGGGCAACCAGTGACGGCCAGGAAAATCTGGATGACGACTGTCAATAGGACAGTGACAACCTGGATAGCCAGGAGACAGTCTGGAAAGACAGGCAACTAAGAGTGTGGCGGTTAAGCAAGCCAAAACACATCTTCCGAGAGGAGATACCTTTTAGAATTCGCTATATAGACGAGACATAAAAAGATACCCCCGGGGTCGTACGAGACCGGGTGAGGATGAGCGACCTGTTTTGGAGGATGTAACGGAAACAACACCAGACCGACCAAGGACAGAGAGTATGAATTCGAGCACATGTAGTTGTGGAAAGACCTTAAAGAATGAGCGGGGGCTGAAAATACACATGGGAAATATGGGATGTGCTCCTATTCAGCGACTGACGCAACGCAGAGGGCAACCTGGCTCCAAGGCCATAAACTGAGAACAGACTTAAGGCCGGTATACACGATGAGATTTGTAGTATAATACAAGTATTATAATACTTTTGTATTATAATACTTTCTTGTACACACGCTAATACATATCTTATAAGATTGTATATAAACTATTATTCCCACGTGTTTTCTCCTGCCATATTTCTCTCTCTGTCAAAATAATAAAAACGATAATAATAAGCTCTGCTTCTAGCATCGTTTTTGTGGTAGCTACAGCTTGATATATTCCACAAGTCCTCTTCCCCTTCCCATAAAACCACGAGTTTTTCGATATCTTTACTCGAAAAGTCGGCTATTATTATTTACCATGTGCTTTATTTAGTAATGATATAAATAGGATGACCCCCAATGTGAGTACATTTGATTGGTTGAAAGTGAAAGGTGAGTTAAGACTTGTATTAGGAAATAGAGCATTGCTCTATTCTTAATACAGTCTTATAAGATTCGAAAAATCTTATGATACATTGTATTAAGAGTGTATACACAGTAAGATTTTGTATTATAATACAAATCTTATAATACAAATCTTACCGTGTATACCGGCCTTTAAAGGCCGAGGTTTTCAACCGTACGGTATTCCTCAGGTAAATCTGGTGTGGGATGGAGCTTAAAGCTGACATGAACTCTTAAAAAGGCATCATTTTTCATCTTTGTACGACTTACTACATTCCTGTACGCCTTTGTCCGCCATATTTCTTCGATTCCGCCATATTTACTTGAAAATTTTTGGCCACCTGTACCTGTTATATAAAGCCTGGTGCATTTGTTTCACTTGAGTGATTTTCTAGCCTGGCTGTCGACATGTACACATCTCCGATAGCATAGTTGTCATAAATCCATAAACTGACCAAATACATGTTTTAAAAGTTAACAAAAACTAGAACTATACCGAGAAGTAAATTATTTTTGAATTTATTTGCTGCAATTTAGAAAAAATAACACGGAAAACAGCAAAAGCCGTTTGGATATGCATGCACGCATGTCGACGTCGAGAATACGCATCGAACGCAATGATAAAGATATTTACCTGAATACTGCTATCGTTACAGGGATGTGCACATGTCGAAAGAAATATCCTATTTTACTTTTATTGAAATATGTGTGTCAGAATTCATGCAATCCATTGCTTACTGAACAGTAAAAAATTGTCACCACATAGCACTTGGACACACGTGGTCCACGACGATTGTCTATTTGGTCAGGGGAAATTTCAAAGGTGGAAAGCTTACTGGTATTTTGGTTGACTGAAAAAGTTCAATTTTTTTTTCAAAAATAAATATTACTCTTGTCTGTATATGTAAATGTAAACAAAATTTTTAGACATGGCTTAGTTACATTAAATTTATTTTATAGCATGCAACATTACGAATCATTCATCCTTTGACGAGATTCTCCCGTTAAAGGGGGAGGGGGGGGGGGTTAAAAAAAATGCATAACGCTCTCTGAAAAAGATCGGATTTTTTTTTTTACGATCAAATATTTTCATTATAAATAATGTGTATTGGCTTTATTTGTTTATTTATTTTTTTTAAATAAATACCTTATATAACTTGATTTAAACTTATTTTCATAATTTTATACACAATAAACGAGTTTGATTCTATGTTACATGAATAATCAAAATAGAATTCATTGGCGGATCCAGAGGTGGAGTGGGGTTCCAGGGATTGGAACCCCGGCCTTTATTTTTGTACACACATAAAGATAGAGAGAGAGAGAGAGAGAGAGAGAGAGAGAGAGAGAATGTTTTTTCTGTAATATAGAGTATAGATATTTATACGTCTAATAATATGAATAATTTGAAGAAATAAAAAAAATCTCTGTCCTTTCAGTTCTCTAGATCTGTAGATTTTCGCGGATTTGCTTTCCTCCGCGTACCTTCAATCATTTTTCAATCAACTATTTGAATCTCTTCACCATTTTACAACAGTATACAAAAATCACAAAATATATAGGTGATTTTAGACATAACAGTAGATCTATAAAGCATGCGTGAATAAGAAACTAAACCAAAAAATTGTACGTTGCTATAAATGTGAAGTATGGGAATTTAGGCGGGGGCATATTTTTTTTTCTTTATAAACGAGCATAATTTTCTCAGGAAACAGTGTTTATTGTTTAAAATTAATCACATTCTGAAATTTTATGCTTTTTTTCTGTTAAGCATAGCATTCTTTCTGAAAGTATGTAATGAAACTCACCTCTGAGTTCTTTTAAATTACAATGGGGACAAATTCTATCATGTCTTGGTAACCCTGTCTAAGGGCTTCGACCACCCACAAGTAACATGCAAGGAAGATTCCAGCGAACTTTTTTTACCATTTTTGGACCATTTTCAGAAGTAACTAACTTTAAGAAGTATGCATGAAATATTTCGATTCGGTAAAGATAAAGGTTTAAAATGTTCCCGTAGTATGCAGATGGAAGGGGGGGGGGGCGCTCACTTTTTCTTTCTGAGGATAATCTTTGCTGCAGTTTTAAATAAATTAAAATTGTGATTTGGAAGCTCCCTCCACATTTTTTGTTTGCAGAAAAATACGCAGATTCAAGCATTCAAAAGTAATGTACTGAACAGAAAAGTTACAGGAAGCCTCCTTTATCCCCTACCAAAAAGGATTGTATAGAGTGTGGTGCTTACGTTTTTTTTTGTTTTGTTTTTTGTGTTTGTTTTGTTTTGTTTTGTTTTTTTTTTTTTGCTTGTCAACTGATTTTGGAGGTCCTCCATAAATATAAATTGAAGTGGCTTGTTGCGATTCTATGCATGAGTGCCATGCGCGGATCTAGAGGGGGTTAGGACCCCCCCCCCCTCCCCTGGGATTTGCAAAATTATTAAATTTATTTACTAAAGCAAGAAAAAAAGTTACGTAGGAACTCCCTCGGAAAACGCAGACTCCCTGGTAAACGCGAATTTGTGTTAAATTGGTATGAAAAGGCTAAGGTTTGGAGCATTAGAAGTCATCGGCTACCCCCCCCCCCA